AATGGAAACTAGTATAGTATATTGTGGTTATATAGGGATAATGGAAAAGAAAATGGAAACTACTATCTTATAGTATATTGGGGTTGTATAGGGATAATGGAAAAGAAAATGGAAACTACTATCTTATAGTATATTGGGGTTATATAGGGATAATGGAAAAGAAAATGAAAACTACAGGGATTATATAGGAATCATACTTGTCATAGAAACTTTTAGCCAAACAAGGCTTGCGTAGGGCTTGGGTGGAGGGAAAAAGGCCTCAAAACTGCAATCAGCCTGCGGCCTCACACGAGACAACCTCATCCCACCCCAGAGTGCATAGAACTGTGCCTCACTCAGCGTCAGGTCAACCTCAGTTTCTCAGTTTGAAAGCCGCACTGCAGAAGCCCAAAGACGGAAATGCCAAAGTTTAACGTCAGCGCTGCCGTCACGCCCATGCAACGTTTTCTTCGCAACACACGAGACTACCAAACAAGAAGCAGAAAGTAGAAGACTGCTTTGAGCAAATGCCGGAATGCTCGTGCCCAATGAAACAGACCAGCACCTGAGAATGTGCCTTTGTTTCATCTACATGGAGCCGCTTCATTAGCATTTCAGAAATGCATGACACTGAACCGGACCAGCTTGGACCAGACAACACGATAAATGTTTGATTAGACAGCTGGGCTGGTCGAAACTTTGATTTCCCGCTAAAGCTTCTCATCGCAAAGCAAACGCCCTGGAAAGTTCGATACAAATGGCACAACCTTGACGAAAAGCCTACAAAAGAAGTTAATGAAGTCTTCCATGCAAGGCATCGTTGCCAGCAAGTATTTGCAGGAAAGCCAAGCACCAAAAACTCGGGGAGAAATCAAAGGCCAGTGTTGAAATACAGACACCGCGCAAGCAGCGTGGCCTGTAAACACCGACTTTGACATCCCTTGACCCAAAGTGCCCTAGCAGTCCTAGCACCACACTTGCAAAGGTCTGAGATGTGCTTCAAGCTTATTGCGATTCCTCTCAAGTAAACCCACACTGGCTTCGGGAATCGCAATCTACATCCTCTTCAAACCGCTGCATTCGCAGATGTCTCTCAAAAAACTAAGGGCACTGCTCGATCTCCTGCTTTCATTTGAACCAGCGGAATGTCCAACTGGCACAGGGCAGCAGGGTTACATATCGTACGTTTGCAGCTCGGCGTTGCCCCCACTAAAACTCATCAGGACTGCCTCTTTGGTGGCTTGGAACTCTTCCGGATTGAAATCGGAGAGTGCCTGACATGTGGCAGCAGGGCAAACCTATCTGGGTGCTATCGTCACAACATGAGCGTTCCAAGACAAAGCATGCTTCCACAAGCAGCATTGGCATCCAAAAGCACACAGGCACTCGAGGTCGCTTGCTCGAACCCGTCTTTGTGGCTGACTTGTGGTGACCTCTGCAGGCTCAATGCTAGAAAGCGCCTGGCCTTGCCGTTGGCAAACCAGCGGTGCTTCGATCTTTCTTCTGCATCAGCCTGCACACAGAGAGGCAGAACAATGAAAAAATCCTGTTGGGATTGTAGCTAAATAAACTTCATCACAGTTTTGCTTGTCCTGGTTCAACTTTTGTGTTCATGCTGCCCAACTGTGGGTTGCAGCAGCCTTGCCAAACAGGAGGAAAGCAGCAATGTCAGGCCCAGAACTCGTATGCCCGAATCCAACAAGATGGCGGTGCCCTGCAGAACATCCGAAGCTCCCAAACTTAGCTTAGTTTAGGGTATAGCACTTAGGGCCTGTCTAGAATCCAAGAACATAAGAGTTCTGTCTGCATAACTCTAGGAACCTGTAGGGAGACTACCGGAAGAACAAAACTCAAATGGAAAAGAAGTGGGAAAACACAGTGGAAACGGGTGGCTTCTAGAGACACAGTGGGTTATAGTTTATAGTCTAAACTCCTAGTCCTAGTATCCCCCTTAATAAGCCTTATAGTAGCCCCCCCCTATAGTCCCCTATAAAATCCCCCGTTAAGGAGTTTTAGACTGTAGTTCAGTGGGTCTACAGCAGAATCAATAGTCCCCCTTGAGTAGATGGCAAATGGCTTTGGGTAGATTATAATAAGATCCCCGGGTCGGGGGTGAAACTCTACCGCTGCGTTTTTGCGTTTCTGCTGCAGGTACACTTAGTGGACATGATCGACATCCAGGGCATAAGTGAATTCCAGTGCCGTTAGGGATTTAGTTCTAGTCTAGAATTATTGGGAGACCCTACTAAAAGAGAAATCCTTAATGGTTGGAAAAGCCGAGTCAGAG